TGATATCTTCGAAAATGTTTAAAATATCACCGATTGTTTTTGGATCCAGTTCCACAGGAAGTCATTACCATCTGTCTAAAATAGCTTATCACAGGAGTCTATAAGGAATTTCCTTATCCGACTTAGATAATATTTGTGTTGGTGTGAGTACAGACTCGGCTGGGCTGCTCCCATTACTTCAGCGAGGATGTGATGAGATTGGGAGGAGTTAGCCACGCTTATGGCACCTGTCAATCACACACAGCAGACTAATGACCCGTCGGCACATTCAACACATCTGCAGCTGGCCCCGCCCACACACCGCCATGCTCATGATTGACATCTCTCCCGACCAATAGGGCCTGCCACCCAGCATAAATCAGCATCGGTGTCTTAATCAAATCATAAACCAGAGGCTAAATAACTTTCAAACCAATAAAATTAATCCACATAATAAGCAATAATTTAACTAACCCTTCCAATAAAACCAACATACATTCCGTTTAATAATTTACTGCTGAGTATAACTGACAGATATTAGGAACTAATATGCAAAAAAACATCATGTGACACAGAAAAACCCAGAATATCTCTATAAATAACAAATTTCTGAAAGCAACCGCATTAGAGTTTGCAATATAACACCTTACATAAAGAATCTCATCGCATATATAAAATATGAATTGAAAGGCTCCTCTTAGTTAAAACACAATAAAAAACATTATTCTGTCAGTCCCAATAAAGTGGAAAGCGAACTGCCTGCGTTACATAAACTAATAAAGACTTTACTTTAACCTGCTGATTTCCAGTGGACAATGCAACATTGTGAAACGCCGCTGCTCCAGGAACCAACAGCCTCTGGACGAGGGCCCCGAGTCATAAATAATACATCACGGAAAGCTTGTTTATTAAATCCTGCTTTCTTCCAAGGGGCACGGTGCCAACGAGAAGCCTTCGTAAGGCAGCGGCGCGTTTGGGGTAGGCGGGGCGGCTGGGGCTTTTTAAACAACTTCTGGAGATGTGAAATAAGCAGAGAGCAGATACACGGCTCCGTGTTACATGTCCAAGAAGCGGTTTCCGGTCACACGGACATGCTTCGAACTGCCCCCCCCCCCGCCGCCGCCGCCTCTAGCTCCGCCTCTGCCTCTGCCTCTCCTTGCTGCGCTTCGGCCGCTTCAAACCGGAGACTGATCTCCGAGGAGGGGAGCAGGTGGCGGCGTTTACGGGAATACCCCCGAACAGGTGGGCAAATCTCCATCTGGGGAGCCCCCCCACCCCACATCGACATGCCACAATAAGAGGCAAGTTAAGGCTCTGTAACTAACCTCTCCTCCAACATCCTTCCCTGCATCCTTAAAGAGCACACCTTGCTCCACAGTGTGCGTGCGTGCGTGGGTGTGCGTGTTTGTAATTGTTATATTATGGGACCAGATTTCACCACAATTTGATAAAAACTTAACTGCAGTCAAAAAACAAAAAAAAAACCCTTTAAAAAAAAGTCTTGTATTTTGTTTGGCTATTAAGGTTGTCATAGTTGGGATTAGGGTTATGTCCATAAAAGTAATGGAGAGTCCCATTAATAATATTATATGTACTGTATAATAATAATAATAATAATTATTATTATTATTATTATTATTATTATTATTATAATGAGATTGTATTGATCCCCGTGGGGGAATTCCCTTTTCACCTACCCCATCTCCAGGACACACAGACAAGTGAGAGCAAGATGGGCAGTGAAGGGCAGAAACCTGCAGCAGAACTATGGAGCTGAGGGTTAAGGGCCCAGAGACTATTCTGCCGAGGCAGGACATGAAGTGGCGATCTTTCAATCAAAGGCACAGATTAGATATAAATACTGGGACTGTGTGTGTGTTTCCTGGCGTCCCGTAAAACATAAAACAAATTGCTTTCAGTCCACATCTAAAGCAATGAAGTATAAGGCTAAAACTGCCTATAATGTGACGATATACGAATGAACGCATGAGAGGATTCCTCTGCTGTCTATAGCTGAACCTGAAATCACGAGAAGATCACGGAAATCACGACAATCAAGACTTTCTCCGAGAGACTGTAGGAATCCCTGCAACGCCAGCAATAATCTGCGGGGATTGAGTTCTGCAAATCCCGTTGGGCAACACAAAAAGAAACAATAGTACAATTCCTTACACAACAGTTCAGTTAGCAGACGAATAATAAGGTCAATTTCTGCCTGATTATATTTGGATATTTCGTGGCACTACAGAAAACCTTTTATTACGGCGTGAAACAGACATGCTGCATTAACTACACTATGCGTAATCCGTTGCATCCCACAGTCTCCCATGTCTGTCACTAGGGGGCGCATGCATCAGACTTGGTAATTAAGCCAATATGTAAAACAACACAAACGCAATAAATAAATCCTAAAATGCCTGTTACGCTGTTAAACTGCACGTGTATTAATTTGTTAATCTGAGCATCAAACACTATAGTAAAATGCTTTTTTAATGGTAACTGTTACAACTACTTTGCAACAATATTCTTACTTTCGCGCGAAGACGTCATAAATTACATGGTTATAGGAGCTCTGGCAAGAAGTAGTTTTTTATCAGCAAGTAAAAGTAAAATTCAGGGTTAGTTACTTAGAAAAAATGTACGTTTTTGAGGACAGGACATGTGGTCTTACACTGACGACACAGATCGGCATTTGGGCATTAAACAACAAACAGGAAAATTTTATTTCAAATTTACTTTCAGTGCAATGATGAACCTAGCGGCCTCGTCTAAATCTGGATGTCACTGTTATTTGGCTCAATCTGTCATAACCAAATCAAAGCAAAGCAGTTTGTGTCCTCAATTCAGGAACAAAAGATGCATGTTAACATATTTAACCTTCATTTATCAGTCCTCGTAGTGAAACCTCAACTCCCGCAATTTGATATATATTAGTAGTTGTTGTCAGTGGTGATTTGCTTCGGAGTTCAGGGGGGAAAAACACATCACGCAATAGTCGACCGAAACAGCGGGAGATGGGAGGGGGTTCTCTATAATTTACTTAAGTTTTGGGAGGTAGTTGCGGGTAGGCATAGCATCTCTGGCACCTGCTAAACCTTCAGGGACGTAGCTAGAAATTCAGGACCCCCCCGACAAAATATGACTAAGGGGGCGGGGGGAAGGTGTCACCAGTGGGGGCGAGTCGGCAGGGGGGGCCCACGGTAGAATTTACCTAGCGGATGTATATCGTTTCCCGAGTGTATGTATATACAGTATTATTATTTTTCGCATTTAGGGGGCCCTAAAAAGTGCTGCCCCCCATATAAGCCAGGGTGTCCATACATGTCCCTCCGATGCACATGGGGGGAGATCTGGGAATGAGACTAAACATATATGTGGCAACTGCGACTCGGGCCCTGGATATGCGGACCCCCCCCCCCCTCCGTTCAGTAGGCTGCCGTGTTGTAGGACTGGATCACGTGCACCTGCACGACTTAAATTCGCAATAATTAAAAGCAAAACCCCAGGGGACTTCCTAAAAAGCCGGACAGGAGCGACACCGCGGCAGGGTCGGTCCCCTTTGATCCGACGGTACATGCCTGTCTTTGCCTATTTATTTTACACCGGGGTGTAGTAATCCAACGTCGTTAGGTTTACTCAAACTACAATCATTCATAACGAGAGATTGATGTGGAGCGGTACTCACCGGTACGCAGTACCGAGTACCGATACCTCTTTGTTTTTCTCTGCAGAGTACCAGGCACCTCTCACCTACCGGTAGCAAAGAGCAAGGTGAGTACCAACACCTGCTTTTTCACACTTTAAACACTGTTCATAACCAGACTGAAGTGTTTATCTTTTTTGTGAAAATACAAACCCGCTGACTTCTTGAAATAATGCAATTCAATCTCCATTCAAGTCTTCATGGCATATATATGCATACTGTAATTACATTAGTCATAACAAGCAGTCATACTAGAAACGATCAATTACTAAGAAAATGAAAATGGCTGATTTTGGTCACTTTAGCCTACACAAACACCTACAGTTAAGACTGCCAGACTAGCTACACAGAAAAATCTGACAATAACAAAATAAACAAACGTGTCAAATGCCACATAAAATCGTAAATCTGAGGTATTGTAGTTCCACGCTCCAATACTGTGATTAGTTTTAACTGTAACAAATATTATGGCTTTATTGGTTAAACAATTGGACGGGTTTAGCTTGGGGCTGAATATGTGAGTTGATTAAAGAGCTAGTCCAGAGGAGTGTCCCGTTCCCTCTCACGTCAATGCCGACGTTACTGAGGCCGAGTGAAACTTCTTAATCCGCTTTCATAGGCCTTTCCCCTGCTGATTTCACGTCTAAGGCCGGTCACCTCGCTCTAGGAAATCACACTTGAGAAGCTTTTCTCGCAACCGCCCCCCCCCCCCCCAACGCCGAACCGCGGACCTTCCCGCAAAGCCACGCAAAAAGCCCGAATGGCAGCGTTGCGCAGAGAATCTCGTGGATTATTTTTATGCATCTCATAAATCCTAGTTTAATATGAGATGGTAACATGGGGGAAAAAAACATTTCCATTGTTAAATGATAATTGCGCACAAAACAGAAACCCTTCATAATTTAGCGTCTCCAAAGGCAACAGTAAAGGTTAAAATACCAAAGTTTAGTGATCGTTCATCAAAGCAATAAATTGCAACACCTTTATTTTATTGCAAACTATTATGAATGTCATCTCTGACATATTTTGACTACTCATACGCTGTCTAACCGCCCATCGGCTATGTTTTCACTACAATATTGCAGATAATAATCACTGCCTTTCCGTATCAGCACTACACAAAACAAGCAAATAATTCAGAAGCAAAACAGTGCACGCATAACAGCAATTAAGCTGCTTTAAAGCCATTTTTCGCTTTGCGCCGGTATTTTTCGTCAGATCCAAAGCCACCGTGAAAAATCAGAAATGCCGTGCAGCCCGCGTGCCTAATTGAAAGTGATGCGTTAATATCAAACGGGACGCAAAATAAACTTCTTACCTGCTCCCGCTGGATGCATGGCAGCGACGTCCTCCTGTGTGACTTGCTGTTGGACTGATTGTGTGCCATGTCTGAGGATATCACGGAGCTAGACCTCCTTCGTCTCTTAAATACCGGGATCTCTTCCTTCGCTTTGGTCACGGAAGCGCAGCCCTCCCCGGGTAAGCCTTGGTCCGGCAGGAGCCTGTCCGCATACCTCGCCAGCAGGATGCCCAGCACTCCGATCAGATACGCCAAGTAAGGCCTCCAGCTGGCCCGAACTTTGTTCAGGGAAACTACCGAAATGGTCCGGGCGACGTTGATGAGAACGATTACGGATACCCCCTGCTTTAGTCTCAGCACCATGAGTGCCCCGCTTGCCAGGCAAGCGAGCACCGCCGCGGAGGAGAGGAAGAGACCATCCGCCCAGCGCAGGAGAGACTGCGCCGCCGCTTCGCCCAAGTGACACACTGTCAAAAGCAAAAGGGCAGTCCTGACAGCGAGCCCGGAGCGGATCAGGTACAAGCCGACCCAGAAGAAGGCACATACGAGGGTGAAGACGGCGGAAACCAAATGCCACCAAGTTAGAAGCAGCTCCCCCGCGCAGCCCGACGCGGAACGCAGCGCGGATCCGGACGGTCCGCCGTGGATGCGCTCAGTCTCCGCGTCCGCTAATTTATCCACCAGGGCGAGGAAAAGCGAAAGCGACCCCACGCACAGCGCCGAGGAGAGACCGTGCAAACTCCGGATTTCGCTCAGACGCAGCCTCAGCCACGCCGCGCACTTGGGGTCCTGGGACAGGGGGGTGACACATGCTTTCACGTAACCATTGCGATCCAGGCTGCGGGGGCTTTTCCCAGTCGCACCTCTCTGAGCAGCCCGGCTGCCGTCTGACTCCGGTGTCACGGCCATCGTTCACACTTTGTCTGCTAATGCATATGTTTGGTGTCTACGCTACATGTAACATTGTATTGCAGATCACAATAGTATAGTTACAAAAGAAATCCATTGGGAAAATATTGCCATCATCAACAAAAAAAAGCAGAGAGAGAGAGAGAGAGAGAGAGAGAGAGAGAACCTATTGAAGGGGTTGCCAAAGTTTCAGACAAACCGTGAAGGTCCCACTTTGTCGCATTTTAACAGACCTTTACTTGCCCTGCCAATTTGCCCCCCTGTTGTCTGTCGGTCCTCAGATAAAATATTACAATCAGCACCCAGTGAATCCGCCTTATCCCCGCATCAGCGACTCGCTCCTCCGCTCTGCTCCATCCACCTTCGGGTCGCCCCGTTTCCCCTCAGCGCTTCGAAACTGAATTTCGGCTGCAGATGCAATCCCCTCTCCGATCTCTCCGCAACGCTAGACGGGACTGGAGTCATATTATAGCGATAATCCCCCCATTTCCAGGATAACGCTGTCGATGTCCCGCCGTTTAAACTAAAAAAATGAGAGCAGACGCTTTGGTGAAGGCTCTGAAGTAGGAGGACACAAAAAGAGGGGGGGGGATGCATGGAGCCATGGTCGCCGGAGCAGTTAAACACCGCCAACGTCTAGCACTGCAACCTAATTCAGCATCCAGCGCCGTCCATGCATGTGGAGTTCTACCCGAGCCAGTGCTACAGGCGCTGTCAGATGCTGCTGCCTTTATTTGAACAGGGGGGGTAGATTTTTTTTCCACCCCATTTTCTCTCTTTTCTCAAAATCCTCCCACATCTACACAGTTCGTTCAGAGCTATATACCTACTACAGCTATAATTATTGCACGTCGTTAATCGCACTTAAAAGTCTGGAGGAGAGCGGACTGCTTTGTCTCGGCTCCCCAGAGACGATATACGTAAGATGACTTAAACAGTATTGACTAAAAGGCCACGGGTGGAAAATAAAAGCGGGGCTTTTCTCACCCACTCAATATCCCTTTCATGTTTCCTGTAATACACATTACTACGCAGTTTAATGAGCAATTACTACCTTTTATTGATCATTTACTTAACTCATTTTTCCCTGACAATGGGTTGTTATAAATAAAGCGTTTTACGGTCTGGTCAGGCTGCTTTCGTCACGTGGAGATGGCGTCTTTGGTACTTGGACGCCGGTGGAGATGCATGGAGCGGACCGGAGATATAGCGAGAGCCGTCCTGATCCGCAGGGACACAAGCTTGAAGATTAAAGGCTGTGAAACCATCTCGCAGTCTGGACATTTGAGCCGTACGAATGCTCGTCTCACTCATTTACTCTCTCTGTCAAAACACTCTTGTGCGGGACAGACGTTTCTCATATACGTATCCCATGGTGCACAGCGCGCCTCACCTTACACTCAAAGGCAGATGGTCCGAGGAAGGTTTCAAAATGCTCTGCAAACTACAAGTCACAAAAATTATTTATAGACTCACGGGGAGTTTCCGTACTGAGAAATGACTGCAATTGGTGGCACCTTGGTCTGCACATGAATAGAGGGTATCTGCTTTCTAGCAACCAAATAAATAATAATAAAATAATAATAATAATAATAATAACATATCATATCCAGCCAGCTTCACTTGCCCCGTCATACACTCAGAGTCACTACTGCCCTGCTGGACTGTCTTGGACCCTGGAGAAGATCCAGGTATGTGGGAGAATCCCAAATGAACACAGGGGAGAACACAGGGGAGAACATATACGCTCCACACACAGTGCTTCAGCCATCGCCTGCTACTGGTCTAACCCTAATCCTTTCATGTGAGTTTCTGCTGCCCTAATAATTACTGTGACCTCTGCAATTTGCACAGCTTCCGAAGACACACTCAGTACCTCCTTGATCCTGAGTGTTATTCTATTATTGTGTGTTTTATTGTGTGTATTTTGTGTATTTGAACTACTTGATGCCTACATGTCCATCAGGATCAATAAAGTATCTATCTATCTATCTATCTATCTATCTATCTATCTATCTATCTATCTATCTATCTATCTCTGTCTGTCTATTGTTCTACATTGTACTTCCAGCATCACAAAATGAGACAAATTTTGTTTAGAGTTGTAACCACGGTTACCAAGAAGGCCAACATCAGACAGTGACTGACCTTCATTACCAAACCCTCAAGTTGTTTTTCCAACCCGAATAAGCCCTAATTAAATGCACAAGCATGTCGAGCGCCATTCTGACCAAACAACCATTTTCCAGGAGCCAGAAAGCCCAAACAAAAGGCTGAGGGAGGCTTACTCGCAGACACGTCCCTTTACCAGCCAGACCATATTCCTTGGGTGAGGGTGGCAAACTCTCTGCCAGCTGCCACGCTGATGAAAATGTCTGGAAAACCCACATAAGAATGTTTACGCTAGAGCTGAGAAGGAACACAACTGATCCTACTCTGGTTCCATGAATACTCTCTCAGCTGAGAGATGACTTTGTTCAGCTGGTAATGACAGCCAATCAAAGCTATGGGATGGAAACGATACCCTCCGGTCTGTGTCCTGATAGCAAATAGTTTTACTGCTATTGGCCACAATCCTGTGCTGCATGAATGTAATATAATCACATTTATGAGTCCCAGTTCATGTTGGACGCTGTAGCTTGCAGGTTCTGTTGAAGTTTACACACCCATCAAGGCGTGGTGTCAGAGTTACCATGAAGGCACACTAACCCCGCTGCCTGCAGCCCACCCCCCCCTCCTAGCACGAGACATATGCATATCCACCTGACAGATGTGAGAGCACTTTCTGGTGAGGCACAACTTCAAGGTTTTGCTGGTCACAGATAATCTTGGACGTAGTGGCGTCTGGCTAATGGAGACGTTACCTGTGCAAAAGTTAGCAAGTGTGTATCTGTTGAAGGGCAGGTTAAAAAAAAGAACATGCTGAGTGAAGTACAGCCTGTAGATCAGCGGAGCGTGTTTTTAAGGATCAGATCAATAACAAACAGAGGAAGAGTCCAACTAAGCTTATTTCACATACAATGGGCACCATTTACACCCTTAAAGGGGACACAATTGGACCATGAGGGAGGGTGACGTGGATACGGACTGCGGACACCCCGCCAGGTGACAGATATCACCGGAAGGTGGTCGCGGCCAATGAAAGGCAAACATTTTGGGATATCGTTGGTGTAAAATGGTTGATTTTGTGACAGCATCTTACCCAGTAAGTAACTGAGGCCCATGTAAACACAAGACCGTGAACTGAGGTTGTCCACTTGGACTAAAATCACAAAATGCTCACAAGAACCTTCCTTAACCAGGAGTCAAGTTCAGCAATCAGCTGTAGAGAGAGTGGGGAGCCGCAAAGTCAACAAGATGGCAAATTCTTCCTGTCAGAAGGACACCTGATCACTTTGAAAGCAGCCGACTGAGAAGAGCAGCACAGTACGGGGGACCCCAACAGTGCTGCCTCACTGGCACTGGGAAACTGTACAGTGAACAAGCTGCATTTTTAGCAGGTGTACTACACATACAGAAGTACTCCATTTTCTCTCAGTTTTCTATAAACTGGTCAGTATAATCATGTTGAACAGGTTTATCATACCAATGATAAATCTTGCTTAATACAGAGCTTGATTTAACAGGGAATTCCTTCAGTTTTACCATAGTTATATGTTTTTTAAGCCTTAACATTAAAATCATTAGGGTCACATTTTAAGAAACTGGTAGAAAGTATGTGTTTTTACTGTTGGAGGTGCATGTGGCATGGAAGTCGATGTTCCACCAATGGAATTCATATTTCTAGGTACCCCTACAATCAAAGACATTTCCTGTGATCCTAATCCAGGCCGTCATTAGCAGGGTGTCAGGTGGTTAGGAACCGGCGTGGCTGTGGTTCAGCCAAGAATGCGACCGGCATCGTTCCACACGAGCCGTCTGGTGAGAAGCCAGCATCCCACTGGCCCCCGCTGAAGCTTGTGAGATTTACTGAGATTTATCAGAGATTTCAGTCTGGCCCCTATTTCCCTCCACTGTTAATTCTGAGCCAAAGCCAGCCGACTGTTTTTTTAAGGGGAGACGCAAGCAAAATACTTTCTTTTTGTCAATGGAAATATGACACCATCTCCACAGCAATGACTGAAGTATTTTTGGAGGGAAGGGGGGACATCGAGCAATTCAGTTATGTGTTTTAAAAAAAAGAAGTGTCTTTGTACCCGAAGAGCAGCAGATTGTCAGGACATGACATATAATCGCTGGATTGTTTCTGCTGATAAAGTTAAGCGCTCAGGAATTCTCTGTCATCATTAACAGTTCCCACATTTAAGACATTTTTCTGACTGGCTCCTTAGCAAGCCTGGAAAAAGACTAATGAACATTCTGTTGATGTTAGTCCTGAGCAATTTCATCCAAAATGATGATAATTAACGTGGAATGTGCCCATTTCCACATCTGACCATTTGGTGCGACTGTTGCTGTGACCGGTGTGGTTCTGCGCCAGGCCGGAGATCTGCAGATGTACAGAAACTCTGGTTACAGAGTGACTGTGGTCAGACCACAGGCTCCCCAAATGTGTGTGTGTGTGTGTGGGGGGGGGGGGGGGTTGCAGAGGGTGATTTTTTAAATGGAAATCAATCAGGTCACAGAACATTCAAAAACAGCTCACCTCACTTCTTGTTTGTTTGTATGCGAAGATACTGCATTCCAATTGTTTTTACCTTTATACTGTACATAACTGGGTCAAATAAAATACAAAAAACAAACTTTACTGAAGAAAAACAACATGAGATTGACAGCAGTGCCACTCGAAAAATGAGGTGAAGGGCACATCCTCTTTGGACAAAAGCTGAACGGAAGCATGATCGTCAGAGCCCACAGCGTGTGTAGCGATCATTCAAAGCCAGGATCTCTGCTAATCCAATCAACCTTCTCAAATCCACCATCAGAGCCTCGGGGTCCTGACTTTACTCAAAACGGTGCACAGTCCTCATGTTCTCCAAAGATCACGAGGCCCTGGAGCAGGCGGGAAGCGATTAATGGCATCTGCACTTAAAACCATCCAGATTTTCCAAACAACTGCCGTCAGCTTCTCGGCCGCAAATTGCGGTAATTTCTAATCACAACACTGTTCATCCGCGGGTCATTGCCGGGTTCGCTGACTTGGTGTGCAATTCGGATCATCATTACTCAGGAAATCAGATGTGGCCCAATGCTGTCAACCCAACACCGGGTACAGAAGGATTCCCGCTCTTTTTTTTGTGTTATATTTTGGTTGTTGACACCTCGCACCGCTGACCAGAAAGCGGGGGTGTGACGGAAAGCAGGGTGCCATGGCGACGGTCTGAAGCGTGGTGGGTTATGAGGTTGGCTGGGATACGATCACTGCTCCACATCGGGGCACTTTATCTTGAAGAAATGCAGCTGTATAAATACGCGACTGAAGGCATGCAATCATTGCGACGAACAAACGAAAGGATGGCGTGAGATGGAATTCACTTTAGGACAAGATCTTTGCATTCGTTACCCTGGTGTAACTAGTGGGATATGAGCGCTACATTGTAACCATGCATCCAATTGGCATTTAAATTTAGTTCCTCAGAATTTTTAAGTAATTTATAATTTTGTTGCGCATTGATACTGCAGTATGAAGCAATTCCAGTCGTGCGCCTTTCTTAAGGGTAATATGGTAATACACACAGAGTCAGCTACCTTTATGTGATGTGTTTGCTGCCAGGGCCACTATTTCTACACCTTGCCAGAGTTTTCTGAATATGGAGGGGACGTTCCTGGTTCATACCGACCTATTAGAAACACTCGGGTGGTACAGAACGTACCAAGTGCAAATAT